CAGCTATTGGCCACAAGGAACGGCCGCCAGGGCGTGTCCCAGATGTTGCTTTCCTATTGGGCCAGAGAGCTGCCGCTCAAGCGCAGGGCCCGCCCCCCCGCCATCCCCATTGGTACGAAGACCTCAACCACCTCCTCCCATTTGCTGCTCAGCCCCTTTGATGACGTCCCCGCCACTCACGCACCTGCTCGCCTCCCCATTGGCCGACCCCACAGAGCCACGCCCCCAACCTTATTGCCCCCCCCTCACCGATTGGCTGCCGCTGCTGCCCATCAACCGCCAAGCCCCGCCCCATGGCGTCATGGTAAACATCCCGCGGGAGGGCGCGCAGGGGGCGGGGCTTCCCCGCGCACGTGTTCGGGGCGCGCCCTCCCCACCGAGGCCGGGACAGCGCCGCCCATGGAAGCCTTTATTGCCCCCCCCGAGAGCAGAGCCCCCCCCCGGCCCCTCACTTCTTCTCCTCCTCCTTCTTGTCCTTGCTCTCCTTGGAGGCCTGCGAGGCCAGCGAGCCCATGGCGTTGCGGATGGCCTCGTTGTTGGGGTCCACGCCCGGCAGGTTCTCCAGCACGCTCTGCAGGAACTCGGGGTCCTGCATCACGTCGTAGTCGTCCTCCTCCTGCGGGGACAGCGAGGAGGGGATGGGCACAGGCCGGGGTCACCTCCTCATCCTCCTCTTCCTCCTCCTCGCGGACGGAGGGGGACAGGGATAGGATGGGAAGCGCACCTTAGCGGGTTCGGAGGTGTCCATGGCTGTGCTGCTGTCCACTTCCGCTGCCTCCGCCTGGGCAAACTCTGTCGGAGGAGAGGGACAGTGGGGGCAGAGGATTCACTCACCCACAGCCTGCCCACGGCGCAGGGGAGCGAGCCTGGCACCCGTCCCCCAGTGTTCAGGGAGGGCTGGACCCTGCCCAGGTTTGGGGTCCCAGCATCACTTGGGGACAGGTTGGGCATAGGGGCCGGTGGCTCCGTTCCTGGAGTCACAGGAATCTTCCTTTGGGAATGGGCTCCAGGCACTCACCTGCTCCCTGCAGGGACATCTGCATGGCGTAAGCAATCTGCTCCTCCTCCGTCATGCTGCTGAGGTCGGGCAGCCCGGCCCGGCCAAACTCCTGCTGAGTTATCGTCATCTTCAGCAAAGCATCGTCCGAATCTGCACAGCCAAAGCCCTGCTCAGGAAGCAGCAATGGGGCTGCCCCCCTGGGTCCAGCGCCCCACACAACCCCTGTTTCCATCCACACACGTGGCATCACTGGGGAAGGGGACGGGAGCAGAGCCGCTGAACACACTACCCAGGATACCCAGGACAGGAATGGGGCAGTTGGGAGTTCCAGCAGAGGCAGAGGTGGTTCCTCAGCTCGCTGCAGGTAAACTGCCTCCCTCCGAGGTGCCAGGGGCATAACCCAGCTCCTGCCTCGCACCCCAGCGGCTCTGGGTGCTGCCACACCGCACAGAAGGGCCCTGCCAGGAGCAGAGCTGCATCCCCCACTCAGGCAGCCTTACTGCCACAGGAGCCATCCCCAGGGAACACCCTGCCGGGGTATTCCCTGCCCAGCTCCTTACCATCCCCAGCAGTGGCCGCTATCCCAGCCTCAGCTGCAGAGGCAGCTGCAGCCCTCCTGGCCTCCTCCTCTTGCCGCTGCCTCTGCTCCTCCATGGAGACACGCAGAGCCTGCAGAGACGGGGCCAGGCAACGAGCTGAGGCAGGCAGGGCAGGCTCAGCCCACAGCCACCCTCCACGTCCCCATCGCTCACCAGCGCCAGCTCCGGGTCTGCACTGGGGTCCACTCCAAACTCGAAATCGCTGGCGCCCAGGCCCAGCATGGCACCGCCTTCCCCGGCCAGGATGGGGGAGCTGATGAGGGCATCAGCCAGGCTGGGCCCCGGTGGCACCGTCACCAGGTGGGAGCCGGTGCCATCCTTGCCGTTCAAGGTGTTGATGAAGGCAGTCAGCTTGTCTGTGTTGGCTTCCTAGGGGCGAAGAGGAAGGCTGGGGTTAGAGCTTTGCCTGGACACGGGACTCTCCACTGGCGCAACTGCTGAGGAGATCGAGGCTCAGAGAGCTCTTCATATCCTCCGGTGCCTGAATAAGGGCTCTGGGGCGGGAGGGATTCAAATCCCGCCTTGATCTTACGCCAGAAGCATGGCACAAGGCTCACCTCTTCTCCAAAATTAATGATGTCCACGTTGACCTTCTCTTTCTTCAGACGCTTCGCCAGTTTCACCAGCTGCAGCGAGAAGACACCATGGCATTAGCTTGGATTTTGGCTCTTAGGCACTGCCCTGGGCTCAGCAGTAGCAGTCATTTCTCTCCTTCTTAGTAGCTGGTGCAGCGCTGTGGGTTTGACTTTCAGCCTGGGAGCAGCACTGATAACAGTGAGGGTTTTACTTGCTGCTCAGTAATGTTGACTCTGACCAAGGACTTTGTGAGTCTCACGCTCTGCCAGGGAGCAGGGGAAGCCAGGAGGAAGCAGAGCCAGGACACCTGACTCGAGGTCGACCCCTCGACTTTTGGAGTCGGGGATACAGAGGATCCGAGGCCGGCTGTACCCCAACTGAAAAAGAGATCCTGGCAGCCGAGGCTCAGGAAGCCCTCAGAGCCCAGCGCGGGCCGCTGTGGTTTGAACCCAGCCGGTAAGTGAGAGCCACGCAGCCGCTCGCTCGCTCCCCACCTTCCTCCACCCTCTCCCGGAGGGATGGGGAGGAGAATGGACAGACTGTACCTGCCATGGGCTGAGATAAGAACAGCCCAGGAGCTAAGGTCTAACACAAACCACTGCTGCTGCCACCGGGGACAATAACGATAAGGGAAACAACAAGGGAAGAGAATACAACCGCTCACCACCCGCCGACCGATACCCAGCCCGACCCCAGCAGTGATCTGGGCCTTCTGGGTAACTGCCCCCCGTTTATATACTGGTATGACGTGCTGTGGTACGGTTAGGTTGGGTCAGGTGTCCTGCCTCTGCTTCCTCCCCTCCCTGGCAGAGCATGAGGCTCACAAAGTCCTTGTTGCTAAGTAATGGTCCCTCCGACCAACCAAAACCATCGGTGTCATCAGCGCTGCTCCCAGGCTGAAAGTCAGAACCACAGCACTGCACCAGCTGCTAAGAAAGAGACAAATGACTGCTGCTGCTGAACCCAGGACAGGCACGTTGAGCTCATCAAAACCAGACAGCAGCCCTAAGGAATTCAGTCCTGGAGGCCCAAAGCTCAAAATCAGCTTCCCACTTTCAAGGCCTCCCTGCAGGAAAGCGTTTGAGGTATTTTATCTCTCCAAGGGCACAGTGCCCAAGGCCCTGCGAGGCAGCAAGAGGGACCTGTTCCTGCCCAAGCCAGGAGCTATCCCCATCAATGGGCACAGCAGGAGCCTGGGACGGGCAGCACCTCCTCCTGTTCCCGACCTGTTCTCTCCAAGAGACCCAGAACACCTGCATTAACTTCAGCCGAGTTAATTCAGATGCCAACACAACAGCACCTTCCCAAGGCTGAGGGCAACGTTTCTGCACAGGAACATGGATTTCCTCCCCTAGCTCCCCAGGCAAAAAGCCCGGAGTGCTTTATGTGACAGCCACAAGGCAGGAGGTGCAGGTCGCAGTGCAAGCTCTCTTTGGGAGCTATGGATCTCTGCCCTTGGCTCAGGCCTGGCTGTGCCCAGGGATCTGGCCCTCCTTCTGCTCCCAGCTGAGAGCTGCTCTGCTCTGGGGTATAAAGCCTTACCCCAATACAGGGCAAGCAAATGTGTGGTTGCAAGTGGAGTGCAGAGCATCCCCCACCCACCCCGCTCTCCTTTACCCATTACTCACATCCTTCTCGTTATCTTCCACAGGGCTCCCCACAAAGGCAATGATTCGCATCTTGTGGTTCTTGCCTTGGCGATGCTTCAAAGCCAGCTGCAAGACAGAAGCTCTATTGTACCTGAGGAGCAACCTGCAGGCAAAGAGGTGACCAGCTGTCACCCTGATCCTTCTCCCGCTGCGCAGGAAGGCTTCAGCTGAGTGCCAGGAGAGAGCTCTCAGCAGCAAGCCCCCAAGTGCCCTCAAGCAGCAGGGCCCAGGGGCCTCCCTGCTCTGGAAGTCACGGCTCTGCTGGGAGCACTTTGTTGGCAGAGCAAGAAAACAGGGCAAAGAGGTGGCCCCGGCCTGGGGGCCGCTCTCCTCGGGGTGGGAAGGGCTCTGCAGCTCAGCTGCATTTCGGGTTCCTCCAAAGCAACCCAGGGCCGGGCTATAAAACTCGTGAGCTTTTAGACTGGGTTTCCTCCCGGGGCTTTCATCTGCAGGCAGGGAAAGTGAGGCAAAACCAAACTGATGTGCCCAGCAGAGCAGGGGGAGAACAAGATTTCTGCCGCTGAGCCACGCACCGGACGGGGAACGTGAGAGACGCAGTGAGGCAAAAGCAACGACAGAGGAAGGAGCAGACTTGCCCCTGGGAAGCCGCTTACGTGAGCCACTCGGATCCCTGTGCAAAAGGTGATCTTCCCTTTGGGCTGCACCGTGTGTAGCTTTGAGAGGATCCGTCCCGTGTCCGGCGTGAGCGTGGTCAGCACCTCACAGTTACTGCGGCGCAAACACACTTCCTTCAGCCACTCTTTGTGAAACCTTCTATTTGCCACAGGGGGGAGAGCCCTCCCTGCACACCCTGGCCCCCGCCCCAGCCCATTTTAAGGGACTCTGCCTAAGAGGGAGCTCACAGGCCCTGGACTTCCACAGGAGAACGGAGCAATCCCCCTCCTGGGGCCATGTGGGAGCTGCAGTGGCAGCTCAGCCCTTATTTAACCACCCTTAGGGCCACAAGGGAACAGGTCTGGCAGGGAGCTCCTGAGAGAGAAAAGCCTCCACAGCCCACCCTGGCATCGCAGGAGCGAGCCCAACAAGCAAGAGACCGGGCAGGACCCGGCTTTCCTCGTCCCAGTCCTCCCAGGATGGGTTTGGTTTCAGACTGTGCTGTTGCTGCCCCGTGTTCCAAGCCCTCTCATGGGTGCGCTCCTCAGCACCAGGATCACCGCGGACCCCCCGCCCCAAGGAGCATACTTGGCTAACGTGATGAGCCCCACGTTGTTCTCGGGGTTGCTGCGGGTCTTCGAGTGGCACACGATGTTGACAGCGTCCTGCTGGGCCTGCAGGCGGGTCGGGAGGAAGTCCCCGTTCCTCATGTACTCGCTGTTGTCAACGCTGGAACAGAGAGGGACAGAGGGGGGGGGGGGTCTCAGTGGAGGTGCAGCCCCCGAGGGTGGGGTTTGGGACCCACGCCGGTGGTGACGGATGTGTCCCAGGGCAGGATGGATCCCCCCTGCATCCCCAGAGCTCTGCCTCGCAGGGCAAACGCCGGGAGCTGGAAGCTCCCGTTCCTTGCTGAAGGGAGCTGGACCCCCGCTGCCGCAGCACCTCCCCTGGGCAGCGCAAAGCTCCGTGTCCGTCTCTGCCAAGGGGTCTCCAGCAGGGCGGAACGCGGCTTTCCCAGCGCCCTCCGCCCCGGCCCGCAGCCTCCCAGCGAGGAGCAGCAGTGCCCCTCAGCGCCCGCGGGCAGCGGCCGCACCACGATCCAACCCCACCGCCACGGCCCCACGCTCCCCCCACACCGCTCCCCGATCCCCCCCCACAGCTCCACGCTCCCTCCCCACCGCCCCACGCTCCCCCCACACCGCTCCCCGATCCCCCCCCACAGCTCCACGCTCCCTCCCCACCGCCCCACGCTCCCCCCACACCGCTCCCCGATCCCTCCCCACCGCTCCTCGATCCCTCCCCACCGCTCCCCGATCCCTCCCCACCGCTCCCCGATCCCTCCCCACCGCCCCACGCTCCCTCCCCACTGGTCCACGCTCCCCCCACACCGCTCCCCGATCCCTCCCCACCGCCCCACGCTCCCCCCCCACCGCCCCACGCTCCCTCCCCACCGCTCCCCGATCCCTCCCCACCGCCCCACGCTCCCCCCACACCGCTCCCCGATCCCTCCCCACCGCCCCACGCTCCCTCCCCACCGCTCCCCGATCCCTCCCCACCGCCCCACGCTCCCCCCACACCGCTCCCCGATCCCTCCCCACGGCTCCACGATCCAACCCCACCGCTCCCCGATCCCCCCCCACAGCTCCACGCTCCCCCCACACCGCTCCCCGATCCCCCCCCACCGCCCCACGCTCCCTCCCCACCGCCCCACGCTCCCTCCCCACCGCTCCCCGATCCCCCCCCCACAGCTCCACGCTCCCCCCACACCGCTCCCCGATCCCTCCCCACCGCTCCCCGATCCCTCCCCACGGCTCCATCCGACCCCAAACCCTTCCTCCTACGGAGCCTTGGGGAAAGCGAGCAGCGGTTGAAGAAGGGCTTGGGCGCCCGGTTTAGGCCCAGGGGAAGGGCTCCCGTGGAGCTTTAACGCCAAGGGAAGGGCTCCCCCCGCTCCGTGACCACCGCCCCACGGCAGGGCAGGGACGGACGAGGAGGCGGCACCGGCAGACCCCAACCCCCCCCCAAGGGCCTCCATCCCTGCCCCTTCACCCCGCTCCAGGCCCGCGATGACTCAGGGAAAGGCGGCGGAGCCCCGGGCCGGCCGCGGGGGCTCGGGCTCGCTCCGAGCGGTGGCGGAGCCCCGGTGCGGGGCGGGGCGGGGAGGGGGCCGCGCTCACCAGACCATGGTGCTCTCCAGAACCATCCTGCCGGCCGCTCCTCCGCACCGGCACCGGGCACCGAGCACCGCCAACAAGGCGCCCGTGGGTTGGCTCCACGCTACTGGCCAATCCCCGCTTCCCGTCTTGAGAGGTGAGCGGCGGAAGGAGGTGAGGGGCATGCTGGGAGGTGTAGTCCCGGAAAGGCCCGGTCGCGTTCGGTTCCGTTCCCGTTCCCATTCCCATTCCCGTTCCCGTTCCCGTCCCCGCAGAGAGGCGCAGGAGCAGCGGGCCAGCAGCACGGGTTTGTATTGTGCGGGTCGGACGAGGCCACAAGCGCTACAGAGCCGAAAGGACAACGGTCACGCACGGAGCGAGCTGCTCCCGGGGCCGGGCTGGGCCCTGCTGTGGTCCCAGCCGTGAAGGACCGTGTGTGACCATGTGTGACCATGTGTGACCATGATCCATCCACATCCATCCATTCGTGACCATGATCTATCTACATCCATCCACATCCATCCATGTGTGACCATGATCCATCCATGTGACCATGATCCATCCACATCCATTCCTGATCCATCCATGTCTGACCATGATCCATGTGTGACCATGATCCATCCATGATCCATCCATGTCTGAACCATGATCCATCCATGTGTGACCATGATCCATCCACATCCATCCATGATCCATCCATGTGTGACCATGATCCATCCATGATCCATCCACACCTATCCATGAACCAGCCATGTGTGACCATGATCCATCCATGATCCATCCACACCCATCCATGGACCAGCCATGTGTGACCATGATCGATCCACATCCATCCATGATCCATTCATATCCATGATCCATCCACATCCATCCATGTGTGACCATGATCCATCCACATCCATCCATGATCCATTCATATCCATGATCCATCTACATCCATCCATGATCCACCCATGTCTGACCACGACCCATTCATATCCATGATCTATCCACATCCACCCATGATCCATCCACATCCATCCATGTCTGACCATGATCCATCCACATCCATCCATGTCTGACCATTATCCATCCACATCCATCCATGATCCATTCATATCCATGATCCATCTACATCCATCCATGATCCACCCATGTCTGACCACGACCCATTCATATCCATGATCTATCCACATCCACCCATGATCCATCCACATCCATCCATGTCTGACCATTATCCATCCACATCCATCCATGATCCATTCATATCCATGATCCATCTACATCCATCCATGATCCACCCATGTCTGACCACGACCCATTCATATCCATGATCTATCCACATCCACCCATGATCCATCCACATCCATCCATGTCTGACCATGATCCATCCACATCCATCCATGTCTGACCATTATCCATCCACATCCATCCATGATCCATTCATATCCATGATCCATCTACATCCATCCATGATCCATCCATGTCTGACCATGACCCATTCATATCCATGATCTATCCACATCCACCCATGATCCATCCACATCCATCCATGTCTGACCATGATCCATCCACATCCATCCATGTCTGACCATTATCCATCCACATCCATCCATGATCCATTCATATCCATGATCCATTCATACCCATCCATGTTCATCCATGTCTGACCAGGATCCATCCACGATTTATGCATGATCCATCCATGTGTGACCACGATCCATCCATGTGTGACCATGATCCCCCCATGTCCATCCATGTGTGACCATGATCCATCCATGTGTGACCATGATGCCCCCATGTCCATCCCTGATCCCCCCATGTCCATCCATGTGTGACCATGATGCCCCCATGTCCATCCATGTGTGACCATGATCCATCCATGTCCATCCATGTGTGACCACAATCCATCCATATGTGACCATGATCCCCCCATGTCCATCCATGTGTGACCATGATCCATCCATGTGTGACCACGATCCCCCCATGTCCATCCCTGATCCATCACCTCGCGCTGATCCAGAGGCTCCAGCGGCCACTGCTGCCCGCTCCCACAGTGGTGGGGCTGGAGAAGCAAAGCCCCCTCCTTGCACCTGGGGGGGGTTAAAGAGTCACAACCCCCAAGCCCCAGCCCTTGGAAACACGCACAAAGAAGAAAAAGCAGTTCTGGAAACCCATTACAAAGCAGAGGTCAATACAGAAACACCCCCCCCACCCCATAGGAATAACTATCCCCAGGGAAAGGAAAACAAACACTTAAATACAACTCCATAAATATTCCATCATGAAAAACAGCTGAGATCTGGGCTTCTTCCCGCCTGGTTAAAAACAAACAGAAGGGGTTAGGGGGCAAGATAAGAAACAAGTGTCTAATATAGACAGTTACCTGGGCTGTAACGGGGCAGCGGAGCTCCCAGCGAGGGCCAAGGGAAGAGCCAAGCCCAGGCAGCCCCGAGCCGAGCTTCCCCCCGCTCCCGGCTCCCATCCCGACGTTCCATTGCCATGGAAAGGTTCAAGGAGCCCTTGAGACCCGGGTTAGGGCCGGTGCCTGTCCTCAGCATCCCAGCACCCTGCGTGGGTCCAGGCAACGCCAGCGCTGGGCATCCGGACACGCAGGGACAGGCGAGGAAAAGAGCAAAGAATGAAAACGCTTCCCTAAAACCCCACCAGCCTGCGGCCCATCCGCGCCGAGAGGCTCCGGTGGAAGGTGGGAAGAGACCTGGCTCTGGACCATCACCTAAACCCTCCCTTTGGCCATTCCGTGTTTCCATAACCATCGCTGGTTGTTCCTAGAGGAACCCCTTGCGCTACCACGAGGGTAAGCTTGAAATGACTTCTTTAATGTCCCTGAGGATTCTGAGCCATCAGGAACACAGGGAAGAATCACTTCATCCCTCTTCAAAAAGCACTCTGTGACCCTAAAGCTCAGTCCCACATCCGCTCCGGGATCGCTGGGAGGCTACGCCCGCTGCGGGCCGGGCATCCCGGAACAATCCCCCCCCTTCTTCCAGCCTTTTACTTAAGAAGAAACCAGACTCCCACTGCCCCACGCTTGTGGGGCAGCTGTGCCACCGGAGGGGGAATCCCTGCCCCAAGCTGCCAGGAGCGGCCCAGCTACAACACAGGCAAGGTAGCCAAAGGGAGCCGAGCCGTAAAAACCAGGCTGGATCCGCACGCGGGGCCAAGGGCAGGGGAAGGGAACGGAACGGAGCACGTTGGGTTTGGTCCGGTTGCTTAAGAAATACCCCTATAAAAGTGCCCCTCAGCAGAGCTCTCCCCCTCGGCTGCGGCTCCACTGCGGGCAGGGAAGGGCCAAAGGGGCCTCGTTTAAAAACCCCAGGGCCCAAAGGAATCCAAAAGCTCCCCGAGCCCCAAAAAAGCTTCGTACATTCAAAGGCCTCTGAGCAACGCGGCGCTGCAAGGCTGCACAGGAGGGGGCAGCAGCCGGGAGAGAGGAGCTCGTGCACAGGCAGTGAAGCGCCTGCTGCCCCTTTCTGCCTCAGTCACAGCGGGTGCTTTCTGGTGGAGCACTGAGAAAAAAAAAACACAAAAACCCCTATTTGGTAAAAAAAACCACCCACTAAAAATAGCACGAGCACACTGCGGGAGCAGGAAGGAGGGCAGGGACCGAATCCAGAGAAACACTTAAATTAAAAACGTGGCTAAAGTACAAAACCAAACCGTGCTGCTCCGGGGCAAACGGCCCCAACGAGGCTCCAGTGCCCGCTGCCCACCCCAGGCACTCCAAAGAGTCTCCTGTCCTCGCCGCCTCTGTGGGGTCGCATGGGAAGCGGCCGCCTCCTGCACGTCGGGTCCCTTCCGCAGAGCAGTTCCTCCTCTTCCTCCTCTTCCTCCTCCTCCCGGCAGCCGCCCTTGCTCTCCCCAGGCTCCAAGCAAAGGAGGACAGCAGGGACGCAGCGCTGGGCTCTGCTCTAAGGAGACCTTCAGGGGTCCGAGGCTCAGCTGCGCTGGCTCGGTTCTCGGTTAATGCTATCCCGCTAAGTGTGGCCCAACCTTCAGCCTTTGGGTTTCTGTCCACGTAAGATTACTTAGGAATAAAAAAGGGAAACATAAATCAGCAACAGGGGCTGAATTCTCTGTCAGACTCCACGGACCACGCAGGGAACAGAACCATCTGCTTCCATCGCAGCAATCCCGTGTTGCTTCACTGTGAAGAGAAAAGAGGGGGAGATGCCAGGGAGGGCTCAAGCCTTCCTCTGAGGTCTCCTGCTTCGTCTTCCCCTCAACCTTCTCCACCCCAGGAGAGGCAGAGGGGAAGGGGATGTTGAGCTCAGGTTTAAACCAGCCCCCGTCCTACGTTACAACAGGAGGGTCTGTGAGCAGCTTCACCCCTTTTATGTGCCATCGGACCCACTTTGAGCCCTCAGGGAAGAGCAGTGTCTCTGCTTTGCCTCTTGCTTACCTAAGGCACTTGGGGCAGCAGGTTAACACGAACTTGTGCCCGGCACCGTTCACAATCCAGAGAGGGATGAAGAGCTCCTGCTCTGGTCAGCTGGCACATCCCGCTCTGTGCCCATCTTCCCAGCACAGCCAGGGCCCACGGGACCTCCCCCAGTTCTCCCTCCACCTCCCAGGCTGCTCTTTTCCTCCTAAACGGGGAAGTACTCACAAAGCTTATCTCAGTCTCCTGCAGGTCTTCGAGCTGCTCTCTCAGCTCTGCAGAGTGCTCGGGTACAGAAGGCCCTGGGGAGCCACTGGTGGGGAGGGGGAAACAGAAGGGAGAGACCTGTAAAGCACTTGTTCAAGGTGAGCTCTCCATCACTCACGTTCCCTGGCCTGCTCGCCAAGGAGATGTCCCAGCACAGCACAAAGGCGCTTTTAAGGCAGGTTTAACACAAGGCAACACGATCCCTGCTAGGGCAGGCACCCAAACCACCACGTAGAAGATCAGCCCGCCAGGCCTGACATGACTTCAGCTGTTAGAAACAAGGAGCTTTTGTCCAGCAAAGCACCAGCAACCTCTTTACAGAAGTCTTGGAGCACCTCAGCAACACAGGAATGGTCCTGGGTGAAAACAGGCCAGGGACAAAGGAAGGACAAAGCACGGAGCTCAGCAAGTCTCAGCCTTTCCAGACAGAGGAACCTGTGTTTGAAAGTGCCCCTGGCAAACCTCTTACGCTCTGAACTCAAGCTGCAGCCTGACAAAAGGACATACAACCCGGGTGCACTGAGCACCTGATGCTCTGGAGCGAGCCCCATCCTGCCTTCCCCCTGTGTGCACCCTCAGAAGGGCAGACCCTGGGGAGATCACTCCCCTTGGCACAGGGCTACAGAGATGTAAGGGTGGTGAAGACCCCACCAGAGCAGCCAAGTCTGGAGAGAGAAAAAAGCCAAGCAAAGAGCCCAGGACCAAGCTGGGACATCCCAGTGCTCTCAATCAAAACCCACAAGCTGCTTTCACCCCTCCTCGGGGCTGGCAGAGCTTTGGGGACCAACCAAGGTTACAAAAGTGCAGCGGGTTTGATCTCACCCACCAGGAGCTGTGCTTTGCCCAAGAAGGGTGCTCAGCACCGGGCAGGGTGGGGAGGACACCATCCTGAGAGGTTTCACCACACAGAGATGCACTAAGGAGGGCTGAGCCCTTGCACAGGGACACCCTGCGTTCCAGCACCCACTGCACAGAGCCTCTGGAAGCACTGGCCAGCAGCAAGCACGAGGCCAGACCCCCGGTGTAAAGCCTCACTGAGGACAGCCTCTGGACAGGAGAAGGTTGCAGGCAAAGTCTGGGTCCTCCCCTCACCTAGGCAGGAAGATGCCAGGAGCTGTCCTAGTCAAATCCTTTGCTGAGCTGTCAGCTTTATGCACTTGCACGCCCACTGACCTACGCAGGGATTGAAGGGAGAGAGACCCGCAGTTAAGTTCAAAGGAGCACCTCAGGCATGCTGACCTACTGGAAAGGAGCAGCTCTGGTTTCGGATCCCTACCAAGAAGTTTCCATGTTTTACAGAGGGAGTAAGAGGTCTTGATTACAACTGCATCTTATTCTCCTGCAGCTCAGGGGAGAGCTGGCACTTGCAGCTGTGCCACGGTGCAGGCACTTCCAGCTGTGCCATGGTGCAGGCACTTCCAGCTGTGCCATGGTGCAGGCAGTAGCTCAGCACTGGGGAAGACTCTTTCTGATTGCTTCCAGGAAGAGAAGTTAACTTGTATGAAAGGGATCATCCTCTGACCACAGCTCCTCCTCGTCCTTACCACTCCAGCAAGAGATCGACCACTCAACAAGAGCCCCCAGCTCCCTCAGGGCTCTCCATGCATTTCAGCTTCCGAGACAACACTGAACCACGCTGCACACATCCTGCAGCCTCCTTTCCCGAGGGGTTGTAGGAGCTCCATGCCAACCCTAAGTTGCAGGAAAGCCCAACCCTCTGCGGAGAGCAGCAGGAAGGTCAACGTCAGCATCACCCAGCACCACGTCAGCGCTCTTCACGTACATTTTAGCAGGGACACTTCCACCAACTCACTTGAATTAGCACAATTACCTCGACTCCAGAACAAAGCCATTAAATACAGACCACACAAGGAACTAAGAGCCACCGGGACCCTCACACAGCTCAAGCAATGCAAGATCACATCACCTGTAACAGACACACGATGCTTCCCCCTTGCACGTGCTTGAACCGACGGCACTGAACTTGCCCCACGACACCAAGAGCTCCCCAACGGGTGTTTCTGCGAGCATGCCAAACCCCAGGAACATCCACAGAGCAGCACAAAGTCCTCCCATGCCTTGGATCTGCCTTGCAGGAGCCACCAGCCTGCCATGGGCCCTCACCTGTTTGCAGGCGAGTTGAGGCCTCCGCTGCCCAAGGAGGATGTGGACAGGGTCGTTGCGATGGAATCGCTGTTGGCTTCATCCACTGGCAGGGTCCTGGGCAGGAGATCTGGGCGACCAAGGTGGGAACCTGAGTTGAACACAGACTGTTCCATCACCAGCACAAGCAGGATCCTATGGCACGAGCGCCCACACTGCCCAAGGGTTGGGGTCTGTGCTGCATCCCACCCCGGACATCTGAGGCACCCAGGCACTGCAGCCCCAGCCCTGCAGGCAGTTCTCTGTTCCAAGTGCAAGCCTCCACACAAGTGCTTAACCCTGCTTCTCCCCTGGCACAGATCCCATGTTGGGAAGAGACGAGGCTCACTGGACTGCCACAGCACCTCAGCCCCCTTCCCAGCGGGAGGCAAGGGCCAAGCTGATGCTTGGACAAGGCTGAAAGATTCCATGAGGACACACGAGCTAACGATTCCCCCCCTCCACAATCTGGTCTCATCCTGGTAAGGTTTATATGCTGCAACAGAACACCTGGAAGCAGCAGAGCCTTTGCAGGGCTCGCTGCTCCTCCAGGGCCTTTCTTCTGGTGTCAGGCTGCCAAAAGCCATTTGGTTTCCTGCACCCACAATAATCACCCCCCCCCCAGCCCCAGCAAGAGCACAACCCAACGTGGAGGGGTCTCACAGAGCTTCCAGCAGACAAACCCAAGCTGGAGAAAGAGCTCTCCAGGTTTTTAACCCAGGCACCAACCTTGCTCCACATCCGCCTCCGTCGTCACTTGTGCTTTCGTCTCGCAGGACACGTGTGACAGGGAAGGCACTGCCCCTTGGCAGCTCCGCCGCGGGACGGCTGCGCCGGACCGGCTCTTCTTAGACGGGGATGGCTTCACTGAAAGACAGAAGCCAAGAGAGCCCTTTTCAGACAGCTTCAGGAAGGAGGAAGAGACTTTGCAGTGATAGCCCGGCCCCGGAGCTGTGCCCCAAAGGAACAAGCTGAGGGATGACACAGCTCCTGTCGGGTCACATCTCTGAGGCAAGAACAATCCGGGAGGCAGGAAGATGCGACACAGCACGAGAGAATTCCTAAAGCTTCCCAAGCTACAGAAGCCAGAAACCACGGCAACGGCCAAGAGCTCAGCTGTGCCCAGGTACTTACAGGGTATTTTCTTGAACGCCGTGTTGCACATGAACCGTTGGAACCTCTCGGCATAGAAGCTGGGTCTGTGCACGGATACAGTGTCCTGGAAGTCCAAGAAAGAACCTGGTTTAGTGAGTGACCGAGGTGAACAGGAGCACCTCGGGCTGTCAGCCTTGGAACACACAGGGCTGGGCTGGACTGGGACCAGGCAGGGCTCCTCAGTCGCTCTCACTAGCAGCTGTGAGAAGCGCAGTAGCTACAAGCAGTGGGCACTGAATCCAAAGCAATTAATACTCCTTAATGAGTATGGAGATGACCAGCATCACCAAGAGCAACCCTTGTGCTAGTACCTAGAACATACCCTGACATAGAAAGAGGGCAAACACACCCACCCCCCTTGGGAACCCAGGATCTCAGGAGCAAGGGCAGCAGGCACAGCTTAATAAAGACACTGGCACGGCTGCTAAGCAAGTTCAAAGGGCTGCTGCTCCACTTACCCCATCGTGCACGAGGGCCTTCCAGGAGTGCTCCAGCTTCTTGACAAGTCTGACAAAGGAAAGGGTTTTTGCACTAAGTCCCCACTCCCTGTGTCATTTTGGGCTCGCTCAGCAGTGACCCTGGCTCCTGGCCACAACACACTGCAAACCCTGACTGCTTCGGCTTGGGATCCTCTTCATTGTCCCCCACACACACCAGGGCTGGCTGCACGGTTCAGCCTCCCAGAGGGAGAGTTTCACAGGCCTAATCATCAAGGACAATGAACTTGCAGGGACATTTAGCAGAGGCTTTATACACGCAACCCCTGCACACTGCGCTTTGGTATAAACAGAGGAAAAGGTAAACCTTACAGCGAGCTTTCATTTTATAGGGAGAAGTGGTTAGGGCCATTTTAAGCCACCACTTGTTCTGTCACTTGCCACCTCCTGCACAGCACCTGTGCACAAGCACCAAGCACACAAAACCAACTTCCCAAGAGCAAATCTATGCCAGGAACTTGAAGCAAATCCAGTAAACAAGACCCAGAAACTGATCCCCAAATGCCCAAGGTCAGGGAAATAGAAAGTAGTAAAGAAGTTTGTGCCTTAACCACTTGGAAGCCAATTGTGACAACCAAGCAGGGGCAACCCGGGCTGTGAAGTGGTCTTCACCGGGTGACACAGCTGCTCTCAAGGCTTTCTTACCTGTAGGACTGCAACACATCAATGATGCCGATGTACAGGAGGAGCCTCTCCCCCTTGGCGTTGCGGGCTGGAATTCCTCCCATCCTAGAAGAGGACAGGGCACACACGTGAAGCAGGGAGTTCTCAACCCCCCACTGCCTCTCTCATGCACCCTGGCAGGGGCTGAACACTGTGTGAGCTATTTAACAGGCGCCAGCATGCAGGAGGCACCCCCAGTGGATTGGGGAAGAGCAAAATGCTCCCCAGTTAAGCTGCTGAATCTCCTGAGAACTGCCCCCCCTCTTTTCCCTCTGGGACAATTGTTAGTGAAGATCAACCCCAACTCTTCAATACAACCTGGAAGGCACGAACAAAGTCTTTTACACATTAAGGAAGGGAAATCAAAGACAAATCTGCTACCAAGACCAGCCTGGCAGCAATCCCATGCAGCCCATCTAAGTTCCACCTCCGTTAGCCAAGCTTGGGTTTCACTGGGAAGAGCAATCCCAACACAGACTTACTGGTCATCTGTTTCTATGGTGCCACCTCGCCGGGCCTCTCCCTGGATGGATTCCATGGCTGTGGAGTAAAGGGCCTTCTGGGCAGCGGGTCGCCGCATGTCAGCCTGCAACGTCCCGTCGGCCAGGGCGTGCTCCCTCTGTGCCAGGTCCATGTTATGGATTGCAACAAGCAAACTGTAATCCATGATTTTAAAGCTCTGCAGGACCTGGGCAGGAAGGCAGCACAAGCTCAGTCAGCAGCACAAGCAGTGGCACTGTCAGAGCAGTTGCAGAAGCATAGTCAACAGTTGTGCTTAGAGCCCTGAGGTGATGCCTTTTAATCCAGTTCATCTCCAGTCTAATCCATCTATGTTAATGCATCCACAGTCGCCAAAGGGAGTGAGGGGAAAGCCATGGGTCGTGGTCCTGTGCACACAGGGACTCAAACCAGGGGAGAACAGCAGGGTCTCCACAGCTGCCCAACCCTGCTGCCCAGAGCCTGCCCTGCTCCAGAGCCCAACCTCAGCAGAGGATGCTTCCTCCACCTCTAGAGGCAGTGCTGGGTCTAATTCGGGTTGGAAGTACTGAACAAAACCAGAGCCAAGGTCCTGCTTGTCCATACCATGACCACTACACAACACAGGCTCTCCCAGTGAACAGGCAGAGGCTCCAAGGGTGGAGCTGCCACCTCCTTTCATGGGAAAGGATCTCCACACCATCCCTTCACTTACCAAACAGTCTCTTTGCAACGTTTTGCACAGGGCATTATACATGTCACAGTCTAAGAAGAGGCCGTCGGGGATGTCCTGCATAAAATCCAAGTCCTTGTATGTGGGGAAGACTTTCTCCCTCTCCTTCTGGGACGCTCGGCGCTTGTAGGTGGAGCCCTTGAGGTCGTACTTCAGGTGCATTTTGACAGAGCGGGGCAGCAGGTTGTTCATCACAACAATGCGGATGTTCTTGCCCCCAGCCTGGACACAGTAGAGGCCGTAAAACTTTGGCAGCAGCGTCCTTGGGTTCTGGTTCAGATTCTGAAAGACCCAAGACAGAAACACCTTCAAAGCCCTCCTGGTTATGCAGAATTCATAGAATCATGGAATGGTTCGGGTTGGAAAGGACCTTGAGAGCATCCAGTTCCAACCCCCTGCCATGGGCAGGGACACCTCACACTAAATCTCACTTGAGGCTTCATCCAACCTGGCCTTGAACACCGCCAGGGATGGAGCATTCACAGCCTCCCTGGGCAACCCATTCCAGTGCCTCAGCATCCTCACAGGAAAGAATTTCCTCCTTAGATCCAATCTAAACTTCCCCTGTTTCAGTTTGAACCCGTTACCCCTTGTCCTGTCACTCCATTCCCTAATGAAGAGTCCCTCCCTACCATCCCTATAGCCCCCCTTCAGATACTGGAAGCTGCTCTGAGGTCTCCCCGCAGCTTCTCTTCTCCAGGCTGAACAGCCCCAACTTCCTCAGCCATTCCCATGCTTCTGGATGGAAAGGGAGCCAGCAGTGATGCAAAGCCACTGCCACCAAGGGCAGGTGAACACAGGGCACGGATGGGTGATGCCTCCCCTTGTTAACAACCTCTCTGCACAGCTGAATGGGTCAGAGACAAATTGCAGGAAGGAGTTTGCTGCTTACTCACACAGCAGCTAAGCTGGGGAGGCTTGAGCAAAGGGAGACACCGTGCTTACCCTCGGCCAGCTGAGAGAGAAGCTGCCACTCAGCTGGGGCACACATCGGCCGCCTACCAGGCGGTTACAGGGGTGGCTGTGTCACCCCGGTGCACCCGAGGGACCCTTCCCTAGCCTGCAGGCCCAGGCTCACCCCAGTGACTCACCATGTAGTAGCCAGGCAGCAGCTTCTGCAAGAACTCAGCCTCTTTGTGCTGCACGGTTTTGATGATGAACTCATCGTCGCTGGACACGTAGAAGAGGGATCCGCTGGCCCCGGAGTTTGAAAGCTCAATGAGAGGCTCACTGCAGAGCGAGTACTGAGGAGGACAAGGGCAGAGACACACAGGAAGCATGGGTGTGAAGGCTCTTCCTGTCCAACACGGCCAGGGGCAAACCCCAGGGTCACAAACGGCATCCACTGCTGTGCTCCCAGAGCCTGCCCGCGGGGCCTCCCAGCACCCCCCCGGCTCAGGCAGGGGAAGAGGACACCCATCACACAGAGCACAGCACAAACAGGAGCCTGCTCTGAGCACCAATCATGGAATCATGGAATGGTTTGGGTTGGAAAGGACCTGAAGATCATCCAGTTCCAACCCCCTGCCATGGGCAGGGACATCTCACACTAAACCAGGGCACCCACGGCTCTGTCCAACCTGGCCTTGAACACCACCAGGGATGGAGCATTCACAACCTCCCTGGGCAACCCATTCCAGTGCCTCAGCACCCTTATAGTAAAGGATTTCCTCCTTAGACCCAATCTAAACTCCCCCTGTTTCAGTTTGAACCCGTTACCCCTTGTCCTGTCACTACAGTCCCTAATGAAGAGTCCCTCCCCAGCATCCCTATAGGCCCCCTTCAGACACTGGAAGCTGCTCTGAGGTCTCCCCGCAGCTTCTCTTCTCCAGGCTGAACAGCCCCAACTTCCTCAGCCTGTCTCCATACAGGAGCTGCTCCAGCCCCTGCTCATCCTCGTGGCCTCCTCTGGACTTGTTCCAACAGTTCCACGTCCTTTTTATGTTGAGGACCCCAGAACTGCACCCAATGCTCCAGGTGAGGTCTCACCAGAGCAGAGCAGAGGGGCAGGATCACCTCCTTGGACCTGCTGGTCACGCTCCTTTGGATGCAGCCCAGGACACGGTTGGTTTCTGGGCTGCGAGCGCTCCCTGAACCCAGCTCATGTTCGGTTTCTCATCAGCCAACACCCCCAAGTCCTTCTCCTCAGGGCTGCTCTCAGCCTCTCCCCCAGCTCACCAGGTAGTCGTCCGGTCGGATCCCAAACAGCTCCCGGAAATAGCGGAAGGCCACTGGAGCGTAGGTTTTGAATCGGAAGTCGTTGTAATGGTGAGCTGGGGTCAGGTTGCTCCCTTCACTGGGCAGGGGGGAAGCACACACACAGGTATTGCCATTTGGAACACTGCTTAAGGAAGTGCCCTCAGTGCAAACACCTCCAGGGGAGCTGCTTCTAACCTGCCCAAGGGCCGGAAAGCACCCACAAGAACGGGACACACGCAGGCAAACCCAGCGGCAGGCCTGCCATGGCTCACAGCATCAGTGATGGACACAGAGAGGGAAGAACCAGGGCTCTTCAGGCAGAACCAGGCAGGAGCCAGCCTTGGCCTGTACACAGGAGTCCTGTGCTCACTCCTGCACTCAACTGTCCTGGTTTGGTGGGGCTCCCTCGTGTGCAAGCAGGGTTAGGAGCCGATGTTGCTACTCACTCCCACTGAAAAGAGAAGGAAGCAAGCACCAACCTGGGGAAGAAAATGCTTTCTACTACGTAGAAATCTTGCATGAGAACGTCTCTTTCGGGTTTGGTGCTCAAGCTCCCAACTGTGTGTGTAATGCCCAGCTGAATGGCACCCTTCAAGGCAGATGATGTTGTCTGGAGGGGCAGAGAAAGGAGTTAGACAACACGGAGCAGCAGACTGGAAATGGGAAGGAAAGGAGTTAAAAGAGAGCCCCCACTCTAAACCAGTGCTATAGCTGGGGTATTTTACACCTACTGCTTCCAGCTTCTGTCATTTCTCTCTCATTGACTAACATCACTTTGGCATCACACCCCTACATCCCTGACAGCATCCTGCTTGATGCCTGTGCTCTGGGTGGTGGAGCCATAAAGGACGTGAACTGAAACCTCAACACCCTAAAAAGGACTGAATTTCATAGCCCCCACCTGCGTGTCCTGCAGTCAGAGGGGGAAGATCTCCAGGGGCAGATTACCTTCTCCCTCCATGAATAAGCACACTTCTTGCCACCTTGATCTTGGAACTATACCCTTGGAAGCTTGCTCTTCCCCAGCTTGGGCACAGACTCAGGTCTTCTACAGGACAGGGCAGGCATGGCCAGCACACAAGGCATGCTTCTCTTTGGTGCTGCCACGTCCTTGCCTCTGCCTCCCTTGCTGGGTCGTGGCTCTTTAACCCTGAGGAGTTCATTGGCATTCTTAGATAGGGAGCAAAGCCATGAACCCAAGAACAATGCAGGGCTGTGCTCCTGCAACAGCGACTCACATTGAGTCCTCTTCTGCCTGCGAAACACTTGCTCTCATCTCAGAGCACTGAGACGTGCTCCAGGCTCTGACCAGCAGCACAGCAGCCCAGAGGTGTGCTCAACACCCTGGAGTTACTATGGCCTGGCAGGTCCTGAAGCATGGAGGTACAAGCTCTGCAGAGCAGGTGCAGCCTTGGATTTGTGCACTGCAGCTCACGGACCTTCCACTTGGCTTGTACATAAAGCCACGAGACCCAGAACGAGATCCAGGCCTCGGGAGCCAACTCATCAGGGTTTGTTTCCTTCAGCTAAACAAAGGCCAGGCCCTGCCAGATGGGAGACATCGCCCTAGATCAAAGCATCTGGCAGCACAGGCCACTGCCGTGTCCGGGGGACAAACATCCCAAGTGCTTTCCCCAGGCACATCCTCCATGAAACCTTTAAAACAAATGGGAGCATCTGCCCCACTTCAGTGGCTTTGTCAGCACAGCAGCAAGAGTCCTGCCCCCAGCTCCCTGCAGAGAAAGCAACAAAAGCTGGCAGTGACTCCACCTTGTTGCTAATGTCCTGTTCTACTTGAGCTGTACCCGGTATTTACTTCAGCAGGATTGATTCTGCTTTCATTCCCTGCCCTCTAAAGGCTCAAGATGCTTGCAAACAGGTCTCGGCTCACCTTGCCCTGCTTAAAACTGGTTGAGAAAGAGCAGGGCACAGCAATGCTGCCTTGTTTGGGGACACAGAGCCACAGGGGCGGGTTGCCAAGGCACAAGCATTCTATCAGGCCCACAATAGCGTGCTCACCATCACCTTCACAGGGCAAAGCGTTTTAACAACCAACTTCCCAGCCCTGGAAAAGGCAGGGATGGAGAAAGGGCAGGATCACAAACACTACTGCAATCCCTCCCACTCTGACTCCCAATGGACACACGGAGACACATCCGGACTGGACCAGAAGCTTGGCTTCCACGATGCCCTGAAGTGCCCCTCTGGAGCCATTACCCATTTCATCTACACCTCGAAGTCAGCCTGGCTTCAGAGGATGTTGGCCCAACCTCCCACGTCCCCCAGACAGGAAGCAGCATCCCCAATCCACACACGTTAAGAGGCTCTTTAGAAACACTCAATCTCCCCTTTGTAAAGCAGATTCCAGCAATACCACAAGAGCTACAGAAACCCTCGTGCCCACAGAGCACAGAAAGCACCCAAAAGCCAGAAGAGGCCTCAGAAGTGTTGCTGATGGGGAGGGTTTAAAAGCAATCCCCTCTTTAGGAGGCTGCAGAAGGGAAGCTGAGCAGCCCAGCTCCACTCTTCTGGCTGCTTTCCCCTGGGGTTGCCTTCAGTGACTGTCCCAGGGGTCAGCCAGCATCTAAGAGGAACCTCATGGGACACCCTGCTGAGGAGAACAGCAGGGAAATGAGTGCCAGAGGGAACTCACCTTCTTGTAGGTAGTCTCACCCGTGGAGTCCACTCCTCTGTGCCCTTTCTTTATGGTCTGTGAGCCTGGCTGCCCGGAAGCACCTGGCATCTAGGGATGGGGGAAGAGGTAAGAAGCAAGGATGTAAAACCCAGATGGAACCTGTGAAGTGCCCCCTGCTCAAAGCCAAGGACCTTCAAAGGACTGAGTGAACCCTATGTGCTTGAGGCTGGCCATCTCATCACAAACACCTCCATGCAAGACCATGGATGGGTTTGTTTCTCAGTCAAAAGCTCCCGCTCGCAGCACACCCCTGCGGTGTTTTGGTGGCCCAAGAACCGCTCGGTCCCAGGAGAAGCTGGGTTTTAAGCAGAGATTCCCTTGGGAAGGAGCAACGCTCACATTCCTCCAGTGAGCAGCACCTGCAGCACTCCCAGCTCGGAGCCTGGCTCGCTCCTGACTCCAATGGGACTGGAAAAAGAGAAGGTGGGTCCAGGATTCCCTTGCCTCAGCCAGGGAACAAAGCGCCTTGGTCAGAGCCTTACCTCGGGGGTGAGGGACTTCTTGAAAGTAGATGATCCTGCCAAAAGGAGAAAGGCACAATTAGAAGGGGGTCATCGTGATTACGCAGCCCCAAAAGGCCTCTCACAGGGCCTGCTCTGCATCCCAAAAGCACTGACTCACAAACCAGCACTGACTCACTCCCAGCTTCTCCTCTCCCGGCAGGGAGCCCCAAGGAAACGCTGCTCTGCTGCCTGCCTGCAGCCAAACTCACTCAGAACCATGGAATAGTTCGGGTTGGAAAGGACCTTGAGATCATCCAGTTCCAACCCCCTGCCATGGGCAGGGACACCTCACACTAAACCAGGGCACCCAAGGCCTCGTCCAACCTGGCCTTGAACACTGCCAGGGATGGAGCATTCACAACCTCCCTGGGCAACCCATTCCAGTGCCTCAGCACCCTCACAGGAAAGAATTTCCTCCTTAGATCCAATCTAAACTTCCCCTGTTTAAGTTTTAAGCTGTTACCCCTTGTCCTATCACTACAGTCCCTAATGAAGAGTCCATCCCCAGCATCCCTATAGGCCCCCTTCAGACACTGGAAGCTGCTCTGAGGTCTCCCCACAGCTTCTCTTCTCCAGGCTGAACAGCCCCAACTTCCTCAGCCTGTCTCCATACAGGAGCTGCTCCAGCCCCTGCTCATCCTCGTGGCCTCCTCTGGACTTGTTCCAACAGTTCCACGTCCTTTTTAGTTAAGGAACATAACCTGTGTGCTTGTGCCTTCAGAGGGGGCATCAGCCGCCTTCAGTGGGCTTGGGTGGCTTTGCAGGGTTCCTGCCATCCATTACCCAGCACCGGGAGGTGATGGACCAGCTCCTCTCTCTTAGGCCTCGATTCCTACCCAGGGTTTTTGGTACAGACCCTGCCCTCTACCATGTGTCTGCACCCCAGATCCACCAGGCAGACCGAGCCCAGAGAGGCCAAGAGCTGCCATGCAGGGACCTTGTAGTGACAGGACAAGGGGTAACGGGTTCAAACTGAAACAGGGGAAGTTTAGATTGGATCTAAGGAGGAAATTCTTTCCTGTGAGGGTGCTGAGGCACTGGAATGGGTTGCCCAGGGAGGTTGTGAATGCTCCATCCCTGGCGGTGTTCAAAGCCAGGTTGGATGAAGCCTTGGGTGCCATGGTTTAGTGTGAGGTGTCCCTGCCCATGGCAGGGGGTTGGAACTGGATGATCTTCAGGTCCTTCCCAACCCACCCCATTCCATGGTTCTATGCCCCTGCCCCACCAGCACCCCCACGGACCAGCCCCGTGCTTTCTGCCTCCAGCCCCCAAGAGCAGACCAGGTTTTCCAGGTGTTTTTCAGCTCTGTTTCAGCCACAGCAACAGAAGCGGGGAGCCCCCCCCCAGCCAAAGCAAGCCCTCACCCATCACACAGAGCAGGCAAAGGGCCGCTTCCCCCCGCATCCACCGACTGCTTTCCCACACTGAGCACTGCAACACAGCCCTGGAGCTGGGCCCACGCAGGGCTCCCTCATCGCTGCCTGGCAATGGAGGACTCCTGCTGCGAGGCCATCAACGACGACCGCGTTTCAACCAGAGGACCGCAGCAAGCCGGGTCCCCGCCATCAACGCCCTCATCTCAACGCTCGCCACGGGAGCCAAGCAGAAGGCGACGTGTGACAAACCCCTTGTGCTGAGCAGAGCCGGCCCAGAGCAGCACCTTCCACCTTCCACCACCACCCCTGGCTCCCTGTGGACACAGGGGAGCTCATCCACACACACTGCTCTTCGCACTGGAAGCAGCTCACAGGCAGCGCTCCTCTTCCTCGCCACGCTCGGGGCTGCCCCCCTTCATCAATCACAGCCCCTGACACTGGCCTGGGTTTGGGAGCATCTCCAGCTGAAGGGGGACTCCATCACCGTGACACAAGGCTTCTGACCCATGGAGGGTCAGGGATGGAGGAAGCATCTCCGGCATCACAACAGAGGTGCTCAATAGCAATTATGCCTTTGTTTGAAGCAATTCCGTGTCATTATGAAAACAGAAACCTCTATAAAGAACCACGACTTAAGCAGCACTACCAGTCCTGTAGCCTTGGAGATTTACTATGCTGGTAGTCAATCATCTGTGCAAAAAAGGGTTCAACCCAAGCTCTGCAGCCAGCGGAGCCAGCAGCAAACCCTCCCTGGTGCCTTAATCACAAGCCACACGCACTGAAAGCAGGAACATCCAAGCAGCCTGGTGGGAAGAGCATCCCAAAGCGTGGCCTGAGCACGACGCAAGCACCTCAGCAGAGCACCAGCTCCCCCTTCCCCTCCCTCCTCAGCCCTCCCCGCGGGGATGTGGCCAGGGACAAGGAGCACCCCCGGGCCAAGGAAGGAAAGCGCAGCCTGCGCCCGGTTTCCGCAGCAGGAAGCTCCCCTCCCTCCCGCTGCTTTCCAGGGCTGCTGATGGGGAAATGGGCAATTCCTGTCTGACCACGCTACAAACGCTTCTTCATCCCCCAGTGCATGGTTGGGGGGTGGCACGGGGATGATGGGGTCTGCTCAGCTCCCGCTGCAGGGCTCCAGAGCATCCTCCTGTCCTGCAAACCCCAGTCCTCCCCATCACCAAGAGCTGAGGTCAGAGAGAGCAAACCCGAGCTTTCCACAAGGAACCATTCCCGTCACCTCCACCTCTTTTGCCTGCTCTGTAACAGCAGCTTTGTGCCTGGAGAAGGGAAGGTGTTAAAAGCCACGGCGCACGCGTTAACAACGTGGAATCATTTCACAGCTCTTTGGGGATCCCTTTAAATGCCTCTTCCCAATGGAAGAACGCATTGGCCACAGTTCCCATCCTGACAACCGACAAAACAGCCCGACACCCCTAAAAGAGCCCGTTGTGGCCAACAGGAACCCATCAGCCCCGTCCAACACTGAACCCAGGCCATCCCAGAAGCTTGCTGCCTTCTTTGCCTCCTGATTCCGGGAGCAATCCCTATGGGCACTTTGGGGGCATTCCTCAGAGCTGTTTACTGGAAGCTGATTCAACCTGAATAAATAGCTCCTGCTTGCTGCTGCCCGGGATTATTTTCAGCGGGCAGCAGACGGTATAGGCTTACCAAGCATGACGTGAGAGCTGGGAAAACAAGCGAAGGAGTTGTGGCAATGGCACCTGGTCAGGCTCGGACAAGGAGCTCCTCGCCCACCCCATAGCAGAGGAGGATGCTGATGCGGCACGGGCAGCCCTATACCCGCTTGGCTCTGTTTCTAAGCAGAGGTGCTCAGATTTCAGCTGCTCCTCCCGGCTTGGACCAAAGGGCAAAGGGGAAACGTTCACAGCCCCGCACACATCACGAAGCTCAGCTGTGTGGAAGGAGCAGGGCATGCTGAGCCCCAGGATGCATCACCCCAGCGCCAGCACGCTCGGCCCCGCCGCCCATCACAGGGAAGCAAACGGGTCCCATTCCTGCTCAAAACCAGGACCATTCTGCTCCCTCCCCTGGACCCTGCCTGCACAGGGGGCAGTGTGAGCCCATGCCTGAGCCCCCCACCAAACTCTACCTGCTTGGAGCCTCCATGGACGCACCCACCCCGCTGGCCCCCCTCACAGATGGCAGCTGGGATCAGTTCCCTTCCCTAATCCAAGGCCGGGGCTCCAAACGGGAACAGCAGCGAGATTTCTTCCCTTCAAAGTGCAACGCAGGCAGAAAGCGAAGCAGAAAAGCCCTTCTGGAACAATCCTGCTGGGGCACCCAGGGCTGCGCAGAGCTGGGGAGAGGTCAGGAGAGCGCTTACACAACACGCTTCGATGGGACAGCAGCTTTTGTTGAGCAGGGCAGCAGCTTGTTTAGTGGGAAACAACCCCAGAACACACCAAGTGTTGTCAATCCTCAAAAGCTGAGGCAGTAAAACTGCACTCTGGTTACTGGCCGGGGGGAAGGCATGCTTGTCTGAAGCACACAGATGCAGTACAGCTACCTCTTCGAAAGGACTTCACTGAGCAGCACAGAAAGCTGAAATCTACACAAGGAGAAACAAGAAGGTTACAGAGGAGCCGTGGGGAATGGAGAGATCAGCTGCTCGAGGAAACAGGAGAGGCTTCCCGCAAGAAACACTGACACCAACCCTGTTTCCACAAGTTAAGGCCCAGACTTTGCAAGCAAAACACTTCTGAGCGGGGCACCTTCACTGTGCACAGCAGAATCCTCTTCCAGGGCGCTGGAAGATGGAAGCCTACACATTGAATTGGCTTTCCTTATGGAAAACTGCAGAAGTGTGGCCTGAGCGGAGCCCGAGCCAATGCTCTGAATCATGGCAGCTGGGGATGGATGAAAGCCCACGAGATCAGGCAGCGTGCCCCTGCCAGCCCACACCACGGCCCTCCAGAGCAAGATAAAGCACTCACAAGCACTTGATCGGGGCTGGAAGGCCAAGCAGTGAGGAATGATGGTGAGATTCCCTGCATCAACAGGTCTGCTAGAATCATAGAATAGCTAGGGTAGGAAAGGACCTTGAGATCATCCAGTTCCAGCCCCCTGCCATGGGCAGGGACACCTCACACGAAACCAGGGCACCCAAGGCTCTGTCCAACCTGGCCTTGAACACCGCCAGGGATGGAGCATTCACAACCTCCCTGGGCAACCCATTCCAGTGCCTCAGCACCCTCACAGGAAAGAATTTCCTCCTTAGATCCAATCTAAACTTCCCCTGTTTCAGTTTGAACCCGTTACCCCTTGTCCTGTCACTACAGTCCCTAATGAAGAGTCCCTCCCCAGCATCCCTATAGCCCCCCTTCAGACACTGGAAGCTGCTCTGAGGTCTCCCCGCAGCTTCTCCTCTCCAGGCTGAACAGCCCCAACTTCCTCAGCCTGTCTCCATACAGGAGGTGCTCCAGCCCCTGCTCATCCTCGTGGCCTCCTCTGGACTTGTTCCAACAGTTCCACGTCCTTTTTATGTTGAGGACCCCAGAGCTGCACACAATGCTCCAGGTGAGGTCTCACCGGAGCAGAGGGGCAGGATCACCTCCTTAATGTTAAGGGGTCCAGGAGCCTGGGGATGGAGGCGCGGGACGGGGCTGCTGCCGAGGCGCTGGTGCCAGCCGGGCAAAGGGCCAGGGGAGAGCCAACCTCTGCCGCGTCATGCGGGTGCTCCTGGACACGCTGCAGCAACGGGAAAGCCTTCCCCAACCTCTCCTGAG